GCAAACCAGGGCCAGGCCGGCTGGTAAGCTTAGAATAGATCTAGATTTAGATAGTCAAGTATTTTGAAAATTCAAAACGTCATAGATCTACTTACTTTGATGTTAAATCAACACTGATGTATAAACTGTCCGTTTGGAATGATAAATCTAGATCTAGAATCTAGGTTTCGTTCAAGATTTACCGATGAAACAAATCAAATTGTATGAAGTAAACATCTGAAATTCATAATGGCGGCCGCTTTGTGAAGGTGCACAATAAATAACGTTCCGCCAAAAATATAGTGCACACTGGGTAACAAAAAAAAAGCAAAAAAAAGATATAGATATATATATATATATATATATATATATATATATATATATATATATATATATATATATATATATATATATATATATATAGTTATATATATATAGTTATATATATAGTTATATATATATATATATATATATATATATATATATATATATATACAAGGTGTTGAAAAAAGTCGCCCTTCAAAAGTGCGCCTCACCTTTTTTTCTTTTTTTTTTTACCTTTGCCATTTATGCAAGACTCGCCCCAGATGCAATACATAATTTGCTTATACAGGGTGTCCAAATAAGTCACGCACCATCCTGAAACACACTTATTGTTGTCACACACCATCCTGAAACACACTTATTGTTGTCACACACCATCCTGAAACACACTTGTTTTCTCGCACCACGCACCATCCTGAAACACACTTATTGTTGTCACACACCATCCTGAAACACACTTATTGTTGTCACGCACCATGCACCATCCTGAAACACACTTATTGTTGTCACACACCATCCTGAAACACACTTATTGTTGTCACACACCATCCTGAAACACACTTATTGTTGTCACACACCATCCTGAAACACACTTATTGTTGTCACACACCATGCTGAAACACACTTATTGTTGTCACACACCATGCACCATCCTGAAACACACTTATTGTTGTCACACACCATGCACCATCCTGAAACACACTTATTGTTGTCACACACCATCCTGAAACACACTTATTGTTGTCACACACCATGCACCATCCTGAAACACACTTATTGTTGTCACACACCATCCTGAAACACACTTTTTGTTGTCACGCACCACGCACCATCCTGAAACACACTTACTGTTGTCACGCTCAATCCTGAAACACACTTATTGTTGTCACCTCTTTCAGTCAAAAATATATCGTTTTCTATCTATTCAAGAAAGACGGATATTTTTTCACAAATGAACAAGCTTTAAGATACTAGCAATAACTTCATATGCCTCCAAATTAACGAGCTCCTTCTTCCACCCTGTTAAAAAACACATCCTGTCTTGGGTTGGCCGGCTCAGCGTAAACCTTCAGGCCTCCTCAGAAGAGATGAAGTTATTTCAACAAAACTGCGTGTTGGGCACACCTCCCTGACACACAGATACCTCCTGCAGCGGGGGGAGGGAGTAAAAAAAGTTTATGCCCAATGCAGTGCCGGCTTCATGACCTAATGATCGAGCACATCCTAATACAATGTCTGGATTTTGACAGTCCCAAGGAAATATTTAACATGCACTGATTTAAAGAATTTGTTCTCCATCGTTGATCCTAACAGAATTGTTTACAAAGACCACTGGTCTTTTTTTCAAAGATGTAAAAAATGGTTTTAACAATGTGAGATAGTTTTAATTCCTGATTTTTACTGTGAATTTGTAACTTCTTTATCCTTTCCGTCTTTACAAAGTCAAACCATACCGTGCTGTGAACTAATGTGAAAACAACCAACTTGAGACCCGCGCACTCATTTGACCCTATGCATTTGCGAATAAAAAATAATGAACATATCTTTCTCTTTTGCAACAAGTCATGTTTGGGTACATTTTAATTAAAGAAGACTAATTATCTGTGAAGAGAAAGAGTGACCTTGTTAACACAACAGTATTATTTTGTTATTTGCTCTAAGGTAAAATCATGTTTCTTGAAATGGTTCACTGGAGTGAATAGGTTATATTTTTGAGAAATTCTTACACAGATTAATAGATAATAGATAGCATTTGTATAGCGCATATCCCCGCTCAACAGCAGGCTCTATGCGCTTTACACTATATTATTACCCCAGCAGACCATAGAACACTCCGAAACATTCTCAGCTTCCCGGGAAGTATACAGTGCGAGCAGCCGATTAAGCGCTCAAACACTAACAAACTGACAAGATCTTTCGCTTTTTAATGGAAATGTACTGTAGAATTGTGTAAAGTTAACTGGCGGTCCGATGAGTCGGGTCTGTCAGGGGGCCCCCGTCCTAGATAAATGTTGCCTCGTCGTGGTCCTGAGTTCGACTGCCTACCTCAGTGAGTCTCTCAGACGATTTCTCTCTATTTGGCGCCAGACTCTTGACGTCATCCAAGGGCGTGCCACTTCCCTAATTATCTTGTCCCCACAGTAAAGATAAGAGTCATGTCCCTTGACATCACAGAATTGCAGATAGGAATGTATCCTTTTTCACGGACAAGTGAATTTTCTTCTTTAAAAAAAAAAGTGTTTTCAGTGTTGAAATTATATCTGCTTGTTGAGTCGCCAGGTACCAATTTTTGGAAAGATGGGATTCTTAGGTTTTGAGGTCCTCAAACGTTTCTTAAGATTCTGTCTAAAATGTTTCTTTCCAGAGAGGATTTCTGCTAAGAATACACCTATGTATTCTATGGCCATCCAGTTGTGCAGCAACTCTGAGGGCCAGACATTTGCAATAGACGCTGACCGAGTTATTCTGACGCTCCACGGGCTCGGCGCAAGCTTTCGGCTCCGTCTGCAAGCCGTTGATCGATCAGGGAAAAGAAGTCGAAGTGGTGAGTCCTTGTAAAATAATACAGCTTTGTTTTTAGTTAGTAAAAGTTTAACAGGAGTTGCAAAGTTTGGTTGTTTTTTTAAAATTGTTTACTTACTTACTTACTTACTACCCATTACGCCATCTGGCGTTTAGGGCAGCAACAAAGGATCTCCAGCTCTGTCTGTTTTGGGCCATCTTGGTCAACACCCCCCCCCTCCCCTCGAATGGTTCCAGGACTTCATTTCCGACTCTACTGTGCGTCTCTGTGTCACTTTGGGTCTGCCCCTTTTGGGACGTCCTTCGGGGGTCCAGTGGAGTGCAGTCTTTATAGTCCGAGCGCCAGATGAAAAAGTTTGTTTTGCGTCATAAAGTTTTTTTCTTTGGTGATTCTAACAGAGTTTTCATTGCTGATTTCAAATCTAATGGGGGCCAAATGTTAAACTTTGGGCATTTTTGTTTTAAAGTGAAAATCCAAGATGGATTTCGAGTAAAAGATGTTGTGAGGGATATCATGCATTTAAAGACATAAAAATGTACAAACTTAATTAAATAACATTCAGTGTGACAAAAGTAACCACTAATATTCAATAAAATGGCAACTTCAAAGAAAACAAGATGGCCGCCATATAGTTTTCATAAATGTGCTGATCTGTAATACACTTGAAATCGTCGCATTAAAAGCACGACCTCGCAAGGATAAGTTCTTCCTCGTGGCAGAGGGAGACACACACACACACACACACACACACACACACACACACACACATATGTATATATAATACATATATATATATCTATATTAATATATAGACTACAATATTACTTTAAAGTATTTCATTAAAAACGTGTGGATGCAGGCGCTGCATGGATCGGAGATAGTAAAGACAGTAGCCAGCATAATTGACGTTCCAGACTCAAAGATGTAGGGGAACATCTTTTCCACAGCAAACAAGTGAAGAGTCCAGTCAGCTTCTCTCTCAGCCCGAACAAAGGCCATCACAATGAACACTGGGTCAAGGAGCACTCAACCCAAAGTCTTGTGGTTTTGCTCTGGGTGCTTTTGGTGACGAGACATTGCGTGAGGGCAGCCATGGTGTGCACGTCAGTGTTGGAGAGAATGGGTCGCAGTAACTACTCAACAAGAAATCTCAAAGCTTTTACATTTTGTGGGCATTTTTTGCGGGTCAACATTTTTGACACCCCCACAAATGCAGAGCCAAGTATGTCTTCAATGCAACTTCCTCCCATCAGGTATCCCACAGCACTAACAAACTCCTCAGCATGTGCATACCACCAATTCTTGGGATGAACTTCTGAAACTGTTCCTTGTCAACCCATGTGATGTGGACAAGTTCTTTGCACAGCTGGTAGTCACTGGTGAATATTGTCCATCCATGACCAGGGAGCTGTGTCAGACCATTGGCTTCAACCATTGCTGTCTTCACGGTGTCTGGCTCGGATGGGATAATGTCCAGGAATGGGCTGTACATCACATCTGTCTTTGGTTTGGGTTGTTTATCTGCACTGCGGGTACGTTGTGTGTTATAACCTCCATACTCACTTTGCCATTTATGCAAGA